AGTTCTTACATCAGATTTTGTGTTCTCGATCCTTGAAGCCCAATAGATCTAACCAGTCAACTCCTAGAAGAAAATTTGAGTAAGAGGGCTGTGTGTGCCTCTTCACCTTGTATAGGTGCCAGAAAGGCGTGGTACCCTAGCACTACCACTAGTCCCTCTTCTTCCAATCTAGCATTCCTATTCTCATTCAATCATAACCATACCATGCCCTAGGAACTAAGCAAGGATGGCTTGGAGGAAAGAGATCCGAGAAGTCTGTCAAAGGCCTCAAGGGTACGACGAACTTCGGGAATAAGCAGAGTTCAAAAAACGACTCAGAAACCCTTCATCAATCCTCTTTACCGCACTCTGGCAAGACTTACTGCAACAGAGCCACCATCTTCGCCGCTGTATCCTATTTACGTCCTACGATCTAGCCCGCTCACTAGTAGGACGCTTGATATCCAACCATCTACTTCTCCCGCTCACCTATGTTTTGAGAAAAATTAAGAAGACCTCCCCCTGCCAGCATTGATTGCCCCGGAAACCTGGGGATTAACTGAGCAGGGACGCCCTTTGATAATAGGTCAAATTTGGAAAATACGGAAACATGCAACCCTTGGAGCAGTCAACCCGAAAGATCCTGCCTCCATCATCGAAAGGAAAAACTTCCAGTTGTTCCAGGTGGAGTTAGTAGCAAGTGGCCGGTACCCGCCGAGATCCTTGGAGTTTGGGGGGACGAAGGAGGTTCTTCCTTTCGATGATGGAGATAGGATTGTTCGGGTTGTCTGTTTCTGGGGTTGCCCGTTTTCCTAAATTTGTCCTATTCTCGTTAGAGTTTCGTTGGGGTCTTAACAAGGGCCCCATGGGATAGTCAAGTGAAGTATCTTGTAGGGTTTTGGGGGATTTGTTTTGAAGATAAGGGTGAGCTCTGGCGCGCTTGGCGTTGGGTAGCACTATCTCACGCTTGAGGACGGCGTTGGGTAGCACTATCTCACCCCTTTGAAATTCTTTACGAGGACGGAGTTAGGAAGGACGGCTGGGATGGAGGGAGTTGGGTTGGATGCGATTCCTAACTCCATCCTCGTCAAGAATTTCAGAGGACCGCTTCTCAGAAGGGGGTGAGCACCATCATCACCCCGAAGTTCCTTGCCCCCACAAGAACTCCAGTCTTCGTCCTCAAAGGGGTGAGATAGTGCTACCCAACGCCAATCGCGCCAGAGCTCACCCTCATCAGCCGGTACTCATCGGACATCCTAAACTACCCAACGCCAATCGCATCTGATAAGAGCTCCTCCTAGCCGGTACCCGTCAAGCGGCCTATTCCGTCCCCCTCTCTGTCCTTGCAAAGAATCTACCCTACGCCAATCGCATCTGATAAGAGCTCCTCCTAGCCGGTACCCGTCAAGCAGCCTATTCCATCCCCCTCTCTGTCCTTGCAAAGAATCATTCCATGCCCCTTCCCCCTTCTTCAAAACAAATCCCCCAAAACCCTACAAGCAACCCCAGAAACAGACAACCCGAACAATCCTGCCTCCATCATCGAAAGGAAAAACCTCATTCGTCCCCCCAAACTCCAGCAACCAGACTGAGATTGTCCTGAACCCCATCTGATGTACCCTCCAAAAAATTAAACCTTCTACCCTGCCTCATTCCATCGGGACAGCAAAGTGTCGCCAAAAAAAGCTTAGCTTTTCTCTCCTGCCTCAACCCATCAGAACAACACAAAACAAACATGGAAATTATGGAAATTATGAGAAGAAAAGAGAGCTCCAAAGATGGTCCTGTCCTGATCTTGGGGAGGGGATCTGCTAGGCTGCCCCTTTTCCCGGAGGGGCACCGGGTGAAAGAGGCCTCCCTGCAGATGGTGCGTCTGAAGGGAACTGTCGGGGACTGCAGAGAATCACATCAGGGAAATATGACCAGTCATAGGGAAATCCAGTTTTCACCCAGTTTTCACCCTTGCAGAATCAGATCTCGTTCATAACCTTCAGTCTCTTACTCTCTCAGCCAGGGCTAGTGGGTGAGGTGGGAAGGGATCAGAAAAATCAGCTGGGGAGTGTAACGGGAACTTGAAGGTTGGTTCTATGGTCGTCCAGTCTTTGAACACCAAGCTATAGTCCCGACATTCGACCATCTCTCCCCTGCCCCCACTCCATCCTACCTTCGCTAACCATCCCTCTCCCGTCCCCCCCATCCATTCCGTGCAGAAGGAGGACATGGCCCGGTCAACGTCCTTATTCCTTTGGAAGAGATCACACTGTGATTTCACTGTCTGCCATCTTCACATTATTTCCATCTGCACCTGCTGTTGGACCCGTTCGGTCAGTTCGGGTCCCTCTGCCCGTACCCCTTCCAAGGCCAACAGACATCGTTGCCACCACAGTCCCCAGATGACCGCTCCACGGCCTAGCTTATACATGTTATCCGCATAGGGGGGCATTTCTTGGGTTCGCAGCCAATAACCTATTAGGATGGCCCTCCAGGTCCAGGGCCACAGTAGGTCCGACACCATTTTTCTCCAGATTCTGTCCAGCCAACGCCAAGTAAAATAGGCCGTCGGGCATTGCATGAAGATATGTTCAATAGTCTCTGCTTGAAACGTCAAATGCTGGGTAGGCTGTTGATAAATTTGATCGGCGGCCTCGTTTTCCTTTCGTGCCTTCAAAATTTGAGGTGTCAAACCCGCGGCCCAGGTGCCCATGTACTGGTGCTGTAAGTATACCAGACTGACGATGCTGACGACTGCATGCGAGTGCATGGAGGGCTAGGGCAAGGTGCTCTTTTGAGAGGAATCGACACACTTATGGATATATCCAGAGAAAGCATCTCGCCCTCCTCAGGATATACCCAAAGCAGAGCCGTACCTCGCTTTGGGTGATGCCTATGGGCTTCGTTCGACACCACTTGAAATCTAAGGATTCTTAGAAAATCATCATTCCACCACACCCTAATCACGATGAAAACGAACTCCGAAATGTTTCCACATTTGTAGGGTCCACCCCAAAAAAATAAGGGCGGCCCAGGCAAAACGACGGAAATCTCCAGGGAGTTGTCGGAGGTGACTTGAAATGTGAGGGTGGGACCCTACGGAGCGCGTCATTCATGGAGGCTGTGGCACCTTCACCAGGCTTCATGGACGTCCGTGCCCGACAGGCCGACCTTCAGACACCCGGCCCTCCTCACCTGAGATTTAAGGGCGGGTAAGTGTAGGGTCTTCCTCACTGGCGGGAAAAAGAAAGGAAAAAAAAGGGTCTTCCTCACTGGTTGTGGAACGAAAAACAAAGTTAGGGTAAATTAATCACCCTCGGCCGGTTAGGGTGCTCTTACGATGTAAGGATTCGTATGTGGTGTGGAACGAGGCCCTATGATAGACAGACTAAGGGGCCAGGCCCTAACAATGAATACCCAGGAAGCCAGGCAGAAACTCAAAAAGGATCTGCGAGAAGACAAAAGGGACCCATAAACCGTGATCGCTCATTTCGAGTTGGCGTGTGCGGACGCGTGTTTTTTGTGCCTTTAGAGTTTGAAAACATGCCGCGTCCGCCGTTGTTTCAAAAAAAAAAAAACAATCTGAACTTAAACCACCAGTACGTTTCCCAGCCATTTATCTATGAATCGGATGTGGTGTGCACGTGGCCGCAAGTTTCAGGGGTCGGCCTACTGGAGCAAATGGATGCCGGCGCCAGCCAAAAGGAGGACTGCATTAGGTCGTCTTTTCTTGGCGCTCAGTGTGTTTCGAGGCTTGGTAAGGGAAGGGTCACAAATACTGGTGGTTTAAAACACCAGACTAAGGGCCTCGTTAGACACTCCTCAGGGCGTCCTAGGGCACCGAGGATGAATCCTCAAGGAAGTTTTGGAATTTTGGCGGTGGCATTCCACCTATCCTTGGGGAACGACTCTGAGGACGAATCCTCAGGGACTTCCCGCGGTCAATTTTATATGATTATACGCGACCACAGGAGGTGTGTCCGTGGTGCGGTTTGGGATGTCCGCTCAAGAGGCATGTTGGTCCACAGGCGACGGGCGTGAATACGTGGGGCCCCACAAAAAAAAAAGAAAAAAAAAAAGGTTGGAATGTCCCCGTCCAAAGTTTGAAATTCGAGTTCTGGCAAGGGACGACGGTTAGGTGGCACACAGGCATTCACAGTGTGGCGGCTAGGCAGTGGATATGTTGTTTTCCTCGCCATCCCTTTCACACTGTCTCCTCCTCCCCGTTGAGTGACGACGACGCCACACAGTGTGTGGTGGAAGGTGTGTCCGGTGAAGAGGTCCATCGCCAGGTTGGCTCCTTGAGTGACAATGTGTGGCAGTTTGGAGCGCGAGCTTCGGTGGGCGAAGACCTCCGTTCTGCCATCATCCATTCCGATTGGCCTTCGGACACGTAAAGTGCAGCTGATGTGGCGTGTGGACGTGGACGATGAGGACGCGCGTAGACGAAGAAGGAGGCAGGCTTGCAGGTGACCACGTCTTTTCGAAGTCTGTGGGCAACGGAGGGTGGGGGAGGAGATGAGTGTGCGGTGTTGACGTCCATTGAGAAGATGACGGTGGTGGCGGCGGCGCTGGCTGTCGTTGGCCGTTGTCAGGTAGGCAGAGCGTCCAGCCGCATGAAGGCGAAGCTGTCGGGGCGCAGGCAGCTGATACAAAGAGTGGTCCAAGCCCCAGACTGTGTGGCAACTTCGGAGGCTGTCGTTCAACTGTGCGCTGCACTGCGCTCCGGTGTCTGGCCAATGTGGTCAGACTGGCTCACGAGCCCATCCAAGTGAAACTTCTGGCCATGATACGCCTCGGCTGGAGGGAGGATCTCCCCCTTCGAATGCGCCACAGTGGCTGAAGGGGAGACCTCAAAGTTTTTCCGACTTTTTCGATTTTCAATTTTCAAACTTTCAGTTGCCTCATTTTCAGCTCTCAACGCGACGGACCAGGGTCTGTAAAGTAGCCTTTGTCCGGGTATGCAAGGGTGGGCTCCTTTTTCAGGCTTTTTGCGAATATCTTGGATTTTTTTTCGGATCCCTTTTTCCTTGGCAGCGAGGAATGACCAGGTACATTGGAAGGTATGAATTCAACACAGCATCGGTAAAGGATCCCTGAAACGGATAGATACGGAATGACATGATTTGCGACGGAAGTGTATCAGGGAGGTAAGTTTGCAGGATCAGATTTGGAACGATTTTAGTGCGTATGGATAGCAGGGTTTATAGGCTCCCCGACACAGGGCGTCACAAGTCAGCAAGTTTGGAAGGTTATTATGAGGTTTGAATTCACATTTAAGGGAATATTCACGATGAGCCCTGAAAGGCAGCTGATTTCGGTAGGACAACGGATGAATATATCTGGTGCTGTTATCATGTGGGTATTCCGTGTCCAAGCGTTTCGGAGAGTTTTTTCGATGCCTTTGACGACATGAACATGTGATCTATAATGCAGGAGATACAGATCACCCGTTGGACGTACGTATATATGGAGAGCAAGGCTAGGCTCTCTCTCCCTCCGAACAGAAGCTCACTCGAGCACCTCCTGATGAGTTCAACTTGATGGTGGGCAACAGAAACCTGTCGAGGAATTTCTCGCCTTGTTCCTATAAGCTAGGCTTGGAAGCTTTTCTTTGGAGATGAGATATGATATTTTGCTGGATTCCGACCTCGTCTCTTTGTGGGAACTGTTTTCTCCTTGGCCTCAGTTCGTCGCTTGCGTCTGTCTCCTCCTCCTGCTCCCTCGAGCGACGCCAAGATGGTGGATGAAATGGAAAATAGGCGGGACGTGCGAAGATCTGCGGGTGTGCGATGACGAGACGGCCGTCTGCGTGCTTCCACGGGAACACTTCAATAACGTGATGAACCCGACCCCTGCAGCCGGTGACTGTTCCTCAGCCGTTTGTCCATCCTTCTCCCCTTCTTCGCCGACTGCCTCGTCTGGTTCCTCTCCGGAAGCCGCCCCAGGAAACACAAGTGGAACACGGCAACCACCAGAAAAGCAGCATGGCGATGAGCAGCAGCAGCGGCAGCCTGCGGTGGAGGTTAGCCATGAACGACACAAGAGAGAGGATAGTGTGGGCACGGATCTTGTGGAATGTGCACACGGTGACGACGCATGACAGTCCGAAACACTCCAAGAGTATGCACTGTCGTCCACATAGTGCCCGCCACCACGACCACAAATTCAAAATTAACGACTGTTAGAGAGCCCACCGGAACGCCACGAACCCCAAACGAGGCGGCTAGAAATGACGACGCCCTGCGCCATCCAACACCAATGGTAAACGGACGAGGCCGTTGGAGGATGTCCATGACGTTGAAGGCCGACAATGTCCGTCGCCCAGCCCCTGGACCATGACTGGATGACCTTCGGCCTCCAATTTTCCTTCTATGCTCCACGACAACACCTTGTGAATCGCGGATCCTCGGGCTCCGAAGGACCTCACGAGGTCCCTTGGAGCCGAGGACGATTTGCCTGGGAAATCCGCGAAGCCCGAGGATTTGTCCTCGGAGTGTTTACACATTTTCTTTTTGAAATTGGCTCCGAGGACAGGTGGAACGATTACAAAATCCTTGGAATCACGTCCCCGAGGAGTGTCTAACAACACCCTAAGCCCACAAAGCTAACCTTCCAAGGCTCATGAGCTTGCAATTGTGACTTTTCATAGTGGCCTTCGTCATTCACTAGCGGCTCAGGCCTGAATCGGAAAGCTCTGAACTTGTATACCGGTAAGAGCTCAACTTAGGCTTGGGTGAACTTTGAAAAAGCGAAAAAGGAACGGAGGAGATTGTAATGGAAAAATAGAAACAGCAGCCCAGTAGGAACACTCACTGCCATTTCACAGTAGATGGAATTAAATGGGGAACCCCCCCCCCCGAAAAGTACTCCCCGAAGGAGGGCTGTAGGTTCTTCTCCAGTGTGGCAACCCTAAGTGCGCACTTGGAGTACTCTTGGCTCCATGCTTCAGGCAGCCTGCAGCACAGTGAATTCTCAGGGCATATTCACACCAGGACGTTTCTGACTGAGCTCTGGACGTAATTACGGTCAGAAACATCCAGGATGGATAGTAGATGAGGTCAGATACATCCATAATATCCCAGGTTGGAGAGAGAGAGAGAGAGAGAGAGAGAGAGAGAGAGAGAGAGAGAGAGAGAGAGAGAGAGAGAAGACGAACATTGGGCTAGGGTTAATAGTCTCCTGATAGGTTTTGTTTGAGTTTGGGCGTTCTCGTTTTGCTTTCTTTTCGTTCTCTGCTGATTAGAATTCCTTTTGTGGTGCTGTTCGTGCTTAGGTTGATATATATATATATATATATATATATATATATATATAACACAGAGAGAGAGAGAGAGAGAGAGAGAGAGAGAGAGAGAGAGAGAGAGAGAGAGAGAGAGAGAGAGAGAGAGAGGTTTGTGGCATTGGGATTTGACGACATTTGGATTCAGACTTGACATTGTGGGGGACTATTTTGGATCGGTATCGACTATGTTTGCGTTGACGACATTTCCATCTTCTCCCCCTTCGTCTCTCCTCCCTCCTCCTCATCTGTATATGATTTCTGTGTGGCGCCCTTCGTCTCTGTGTTCGGCACCAGGCCACTCACACCGTGTGATGATGATGATGATGTTCAGTCTGTGTCACGACATTGATTGGCCCAGGGTCTGATTGTTGGTATTTCAGTCTAAGACTTCCGCTGTGCTATCATTGCTCCATCTTTGMGAGGTCGGTTCTTGGTTCTGGTCTGCGCCATTGGGCATGCGACAACTAGCCATCCTCAGGGGGTGTTTCCAAAGAGAAAGAGGCATGGTGATTACAACTGTATATGACCTGAATCTTGCCCTAAATTTAGCTATTATAGTGACAATACCTGTCATTAGGGTGAACACTGGCTTGCTCATTGTTTAGTAATCTCACACTAGATTAAGATCCCGGTCCATACGCAGGTCAGATTAATGTGAGAGTGGCCATCATTTATTTATTTATTTTATTTTACTTCTGAAAGCCTCTAGATAGCGGCAACCGTTTTCGTAATGGATTGATGGTCTTCTCTGGTGTCTTTCAGCTCTATCAAGTTATGTGCTGCTGTGGCTGCTCTCCAGAAGATCAAGCAAATCCGACAGTCGTTAGGTAATGTCTGGACAACGGTCCGAAAACCAGTGTGTTCAGCATAGCCGCCTCGACACCTTCTTTTTTATATATTTTAACTGTGCAAGTGCAGTCGGTCTGGACACCCATTTGCCAATGGCGTTCTTGTTTTCAGTTTGTTTTTGTGAGACTGGTCATAGAGCAAAGCAGAGAGACATCTTATGCTCCTAAAGCAATGGCTACTTTTTTTTCTTCTTTTTTTTTTTGCCGTTGGAAAGGGCGATGGCCTTGAGATATCCTCATGATTGCACTGACAGGCCCCAGGTAATTCAGATTTTTTTTTTTTTTTTTTTTTTTTTTCCGGTCATCTGATTGTATCTGGATCCGAACCTGGCTGTGATTCATATTTCAACAGTTCGTCGGTGTAACAACGGAGCTAGGCCCTTGGTAAAAATGGTTACGGTTNTTTTTTTTTTTTTTTTTTTTTTTTTTTGGTTGTTGTTGTTGTTACATTCAGTAAGCTAGAGCAATTTTTATTATTTTTTTTCTTTCCCTTTTAGAAGCTACTAGAGCAATTGATGAATAATAGCTTTGTGTAATTAATAATCACAATTGGGTTCAGTTCCACTTCGTTTGGTTGGGCCTCCTGGGGCGTGGTCCCACCAGCAGAGAGGGTCGGATTGAATGCGTGAATCTGGACGTGTTTGTCGAGAGCTGCAGGGAATCGAGATTGAACTGCTTTTCTGCATCTCTGCATAAACACACATCCAGATTCAGGCATTCGATCCGATCCTCATTGCTAGTGGGACCTCGGCCCTGTGTGATTACAATACAATGACTACATCATGATCTGAACTCATGATCTGACAGACTCACACTGAAAAGCCTGCGCGCTTACTTTAATAATAACAAACTCTTTTGTTTGTCTAAATAAGTATACGTTTTTTTTGCTACTTTTTGAACAGGCAGATTACCATAAAAAATAGATAACTTTTACCAGGGTCAGATCCGTGTGTGCGTCAGGTCATGAGCTCATATCCTGGCGTAGAGTAGCCACACACTACGAAAAATCCTGATGTAAAGTAACCAGAGTTACGAGACATGAGCTTGAATCTGATGGGAACGATCATGTGTGGTTACTCTCCGCCAGGATTTGAAGTCGTGATCTGACGCGCACACAGATCTGAGTCAGACCCTGGTAGAGTGAGCACACAGGCTGTGAACTGTGAGTGTGTCAGATCACGAGTTCGAATACTGGCGCAGAGTAACCACACCTGGTACCCATCAGATTCATGTTCAAGTGTTCCCCGGTTACTCTACATTAGGAGTTTTTGAGTGTGTTGTAACCATGGTTGCGCTGGACCCGGACCTGGACAGCTCATGTCCGGGGACCAGACGCATGTCCCGTCAGGATCGGACGCATGTCCCGTCAGGATCGGACGCATGTCTGGTCAGGATCAGACGCATTTCCGGTCAGGTCCGGACGTCCGGAATTCGGGAACACATCCAGACCTCCGGACATGCATGGTTCCTGACGGTCCGGACCGGTAAGCAAGTCCAGAAATGTCTGGACCATAAAAAGAATAAAAATAAAAAAATCTGGAAAAAAAAACATGTTATGCAGAAATTCAATGTAAACCGCTTTTGCCTCAGAGTCATGTCATGATTCCTAACCAAACTTGAGTTAAAACTTAAAAGGCAAAAACTATGAGCGCTGTGGTAACGCAGCACTAACGTGACACTGGCTGCGTCTGGGCGTTGGGGGCTCACTTTAGGGTTGACAATATCTGTTGACCTGTGTTGCTAAAACTTGACGTCGGGGAGGCTATGGCGTTGTGGGGAAGAGCGCTGGGGCGCTAGTGGGGCACGTTGCTGGGACCTGACAGGTCCCTGGCCACCACCGGTTTCGACTGACAAGGACTATTTGTCAGCAATCCAGTTGGGTTCAGGAGGGCAGGGCGTTGATGTGTGGGTGACTGAATGGCGAAATCTAGGCGCGACAATATACCTGATGAGACTGATCGGGGGCATCGCCCCTCGGTCCTTGATACGGAGGCGCTGTGGGATTATACCGCTGTTGGTAATCAGGAGCCGCCTGATGACAACAGGCTTCAAGCTGTGAACGGGATTCTTCGCTGTCGCTACACCTCCTATATATATATATATATAAACTCCGACGAAACAGTTTGTCACAGCCCCTCGTTTGTTGTCCTCTTCTCCCTCTCTGCCTACGGTTTACCGGGCAGTTCTATTTGACGATATATTTATATATATATAAACAGAGAGAGAGAGAGAGAGAGAGAGAGAGAGAGAGAGAGAGAGAGAGAGAGAGAGAGAGAGAAACATTGGTTGATTTGTTTTCTTTGGTGTTATTCTTGTGCATAGGGTTTGTGGTGTGTAGCGGGCATGACCGATGATGTCTCGCCCTAAATCAGGACCGTGGAACTTTTTGTAAGGGACGCCAGGCCCGATTCTTGGCACTGAAATATAAGGGACGCCGGGCCCGGTTCCCGGTTATTGAAAAAAAAAAAAAAAAAGGGCAAAAACTATAAAAAAAAACGTTTAGAAAAACTTCTAAAAGTAATGAATTATTAATAATTCATTACTTGGGTATTACTATCGTATTGGTAATCAGTTATTACAGAGATAGACCATGTTCAAACCTCCCAAAAAAACAAAAAAACACAAAAATGGGCCTGAATACCCCCTAAAGCAATTTTGGCCGCTTGGCTCCACAATGGGGAAGGGTCCTGGACCCTTTTTTTTTTTTTTTTTTTTCTCCTTTGAAATTTGGCAGATCTGATGGGAATCAAACTGAGATTGATGATGATTCTGAACTTGTGGAGGGATCAGAGTTAGACCGCGAGGAGAGTGTTGAGGGTAGCAACCTCACCGCAGTAGTTAAGACTAAGGCAGCTGGTCGCGGCAAGGACGGTCAACAAAGGAGTCAGGGGCAGGTCACTAACCCAAACAAAATAGCTGCTTGGGTTAGAGCAGGCTTGGATCAAGAAGTGTGGCGGGACCGTTGGTCACTTGGTGCTTGCATAAATTGCGGCGAGTACGACCATACACAGTTTAAGTGCAAGAACCCGAGGGTCTCACAGAAGATCCCTCCTAAGGGTGGGTATCCTTCTTCTCAATCTGGGGCCTCTACGAGCTCCAACTCGGGAAACACTTAGGGCCAATAGAAGTTGTAGCTGCTTCTACTCACGTTGAAGCGGGTGATGTACCCTCTCCGTTTCAAAAGTTGGCCGAAGCTATCGACTCCTTAGTCACCCCGCAGACGCATCCGGACCCAACTATACTCTGTACGTTGGATGTGTTTGAAGCCTTAGAGGACCTTCAAGGTGAATGGTTGGCAAGGGGCTCTCGTGAGTCCTGGGTGGCACTAAGTAGAGGTCCTAGAGGGGAGCACTTCGTTGTGGAAGTTGGTGTCGGTGGTCGTAAGTGCGGCGCCTTTGTAGACATTGGCTCCATGCGAAACTTCATAAGTCGCGACAGTGTTGATAGACTGCGCCTTAAGGACCGGGTGCAGCGCCTGAGTAGACCGGTAGCATCAACTTTGGCCAACAAAGAGCGCATGTTGGTGGAGGACTACGTTAAAGATGGAGTCTGCACTTTCTCTTACCCAGGAGGAGAGATAATCCATAAGATATCATTCTTGGTGACCGATGATTTGCCCTTTGACATGTTGTTGGGCATGTACTACCTCGAGGTTGCCAAACCCCAGTTTGACTGGGACAAGAAGGTGTTGAAGCATGAGTTGCCTGATGGGAGGACCGTTAGATTGGCTAAGTATAAAGCCGGTAGGTTAATAGAATCCTATGAGTGCTTATGCGCATCTGCCTTCTATAACTATTATAAATGGAACCAAGAGGGAGGAATGTACTTAGTCTATGTCTCTGCAAAAGGGGAGGCCGTTAAAACACCCCCAGAAATAGAGACAGTCGTCGCTAAGTACCCTGATCTGTTCGAGGAGCCCTCAGGAGTCGTAGACATGGAGGTTGTCCATGCCATAGAGATCATCCCAGGTAGCAAGACACCTAAAGGGAGAATCTCTAGGATGGCTCCGACCGAGTTGGATGAGCTTCGTCGACAATTGAAAGAGCTCACAGAAAAGGGTTGGATTCGGCCTAGTACTTCCCCCTTTGGCTCACCAGTCTTGTCTGTTCCAAAGAAAAGGGAAACACTAAGGATGTGCATTGATCATAAAGGCCTCAATGCCATCACCTTTAAGAACGCCGAGCCTCTACCACGCATCGACAACCTATTGGATAGGGTGCAGGGGTGTAAGTACCATACCAAGATAGACTTAAAATCCGGCTACCATCAGATTGCCATAAGACTAGAGGACCAGCACAAAACCGCATTCCAGACCAGGTACGGTCTGTACGAGTTTGTGGTGATGCCCTTTGACCTTTGCAATGCGCCGGGTACATTCCATCACATCATGAATAAGATCTTTCATGACTATTTAGATAAGTTCGTTGTCGTGTACCTCGACGACATACTTCTCTTTAGTAGAACTGTCGAGGAGCATGCTCAACATGTAGACAAAGTACTTTCACTCCTTCGGCAACACAAGTATAAGATAAACGCAGAGAAATGCGAGTTCGGTCGCACTCGAATCTTGTACTTGGTCATGAAGTATCCGCGGATGGGATTAGGCCCGAAGATGCAAAGGTGGCTAGCATACGTGACTGGCCACGACCCCAGTCTGTGACTGAGGTCAGATCATTCTTGGGAATGTGTGGTTATTACCGCAATTTCGTTAAGAATTATAGCACGATCACATCTCCATTGACTGATCTAACTCGACCAGACACACCATGGGATTGGACCGACGAGTGTGAGGCGGCTTTCAAGCGTTTGAAGCACGCTCTCACACACCATGAAGTTCTCATGGTGCCCGACCTGTAGAGGACATTCGTTGTTACCACTGACGCAAGCCAACATGGCATTGGCGCAGTGTTGGCTCAGCAGGAAGGGAAAAAGTTGAGACCGGTCGAGTACATGAGCAAAAAAATGTCATCAAAGAAGTT